CAGAATAAATTCTATCATAAATGTTTCCAGAAAGATTAAAAATGGCAATTATCAAAGATTAGAAGTAACGAATAAGTAAGAGATACACACAAATAAAATATATGTGAATAACAAAGAATTTTATTACTAAACATTATTTATAATATATTTTATTTATTTTACTTATTTTATTATATTATAATATTAATTTTGATGTTTAGAATAATTCAGATTGATGATATATAAATATAAAAAAAAATGAAAATAGTTTTGAATCAGAATATCTCATTTACACAGTGACAAGTTATTAAAAATATTAAGACACAGATTACTGCCAATACTTCCAAAATCTACAAAAACATTTTTGCACATCACATTTACAATATATGAAGTAGAAAATATGTTCTTTATATATCCTTTAACTGCTAAATAACTAAATTCAGATTTTCTAAATCTTTTCTATGCAGTAATAGCATGAAAAACTTTACGTTTTGATTGAGTTCTTAAACAGTTTTGCTGTTTAATCACATAAAAAGATCAATAACGCATCGAAAACTGCATTAAATTTCTATTATGCAAAGTATTAATTTTAAAATAATATAAGAATAATAATATGTCGAATTTTTTTATAAAATTGGATATAATGCGAGAGCTGCTCAAAGAAAACCTTAAGAGTATTTTTATTTTTCTCTGGTGATTATGCACGTGTTTATTTAATATACGTATATAATTACGTATTCATATAATACACGTATATAATTAAATGTAAAGTGGATAAAATACAATATTTAAAATATATAAAATATAAAATAATTTATAAATATAAAACATAAAAGTAAAAAGTTTGCTATCATTTTCTACAAAGAAATGAATTATTTTGTGCAACAATAACGCTGTAATAATATTATTATTTGCTATATAACACTATATATAACATTTATCTTTCAGTATTTATCTTTAATCGTTATATGGAATCTTATCATCTTGTTCACAATGTTATATATAATTTAACTATAGTTTCTATAGTTCAGAGTATCAAAATCTATAATGAAACGCAGTGGCTACTGAGTCTACTGAGGTGACTTATGCCGCGAGGAAATATTCGATGATATAATGAATAAACAACGAAGCCGCGCGCGGTCGAGTGAATTTTGTGAACGAGGTCTTATCGCTCGGACATTAATCGCTGTATGCTAGGCGAACGCTCCGCTTTCGAAGTGTTTGCACAAGGTTTGAAGAGGCTGCAATACCAAAGCTGCCTTAGATTGTCTACCCTCCGCGCCTCATCGCGCTTTTAAGCACAACGAAACGCCCTTTACAACAACTCTGCACCCGTGCCGTGCGGTGCTCGAAAGCCCTAAGTACTCGCTAGAATATACGGATGCTTCGAATACACGTAGGCTCGAACTCAAGGTACTTAGGTAGTAGCATATAGGTTGGTACGCGAGCGAAAGAATCCTCGAAAATAATGGTTGTCGATGGCACAAGCACCGTGTTTATAAAACATGGACGGGGCGAACTAATTGTTTGTTAATTTCCAGTGGCACTTACTGCTTCGACATGTATTCGTTTGCATCGCGCACCACATGCGTCGTTTTTGGTATGCGAATTATATTATACCCTTTCGCAATAATCATCGAGGCACTCTCAAAAGCTAAATGTTTTCTTCGCTAATACAATACATCATTTACGATTTTAAGTTGCAAAAAGAAAATGAAGAAGTAGATTGCTGCATTTATATAGCGTAAATAGCTAATATTATTATCAATTAATCACATGTTGCTTTTATCAATATCTCTTTAGAAAGCATTCACTAAGAGATAAATTGAACCTAGTAAAATTAGCTACTGCAGGTATATATATTTATTTATAAATAAATAATACGTACTTATTATTATTATTATTTTACATAATTTGATAAGAAAATAATAAAATATGTTATAATTTTATTGGATATTATCGATGCAATAACAAAAATTTGCAATTAAGAAATCGAACAATCTGAATATTATTGAATTATTCATTTCGTATTCTAAAATTTTATTTTGTAAATTTCTTATCCTTTCTTTATGTTTCAAAACCTTAATGTTCTTCTTTTATTATCCTTAAACATACTAATTTTATTATTAATCAAAATGAAGTAATTAAGATATATGAAATCCTTAACAGATATATAAAATTACATTCAATGACGTTTAATATACATGATTTATCTTTTCTATATTTTATTTTTTATTCTGTTAAATTTATAGCAATATTGCAGCATAATTAAGATTTAAGAATTAAAAATATTTTTGTACTAAAACATAATTTATTTCATAATTATGTATTTATTTGTATCTGTTATTTTTAAATATACTTAGTTATTATATGAAATATCTCACTTTCAGCACGAGAGAACGGAACTGCGACGCAACGTGATGCGACGAGAGCTTTAATCCATTTAGTATTCTTTAGATACAGAAAAACAATATTTATCTTCGGTATCTATTCCATAAAATCTAGTTAATTACATCGAATTTTTTTGAACTTCTAATTCTGCTATTAATGAACTCCTATATTATAGTCGTTGAACACATATATATGAATAAATTACATTTACATTTACATTTTCAGATAAAAGTTCGAATTATCATTGTTGAACATGTTACATTAAAATCGATTATAATTACTCATAATTATCAAGTATTTTATCAAGTATTTGTACCAATTTTGTACCAATAGTAATAATAATAATAAATATTATTATTATACAGTTTATGACGTACGCAACTTATACATATCAGATTCTTCGATCAAATGTTTATATTCATGTTTATATATTTACTAACATAATTTTTATTTTTATAATATATCACTTAAATAATAACAGCAAGATATATAGATATTTATTAATAAATGAATATTTATTAGTGTGTGTATATAAATATGTTGTATGTATATAAATGTGTAAGTATGTAATATAAATATTTATATGCCTGCTATTATTTATTTAAATAATAATAGATTAAAAATAAATTTAATGATAAATAGGTGATAAAAGTTTCAAAATAAAATTATTAATTAATTTTTAAATAAAAATATTAATTTTAACAAATAAAACATTAAATATTTCATTTATTTATTTATTAATTTGTAATTATTTATAATTTATATAAATATTTAATATGTAACCCAATTTTCATAAAATTTATAAGATAAAAGACTAATAATGTTCTATAATATTATTCATAAGATTCTAATTATTATTCATATAATATTCATATAATATTTATAAATTTAATAATAATTAAAAAAATATAACATACAAAATATAAAACTAAATCTAACTTGTTATTATTCAGTTTTTTAATTATTTTTAAATTAATAAATAAAATTTTTTCTTTACTTATTAATACTTACAAAAATTGTGAAAATGTTTGCCGTCTGATGAATTCCAGCAGCACAACTCACAACACAACTTTTTTTCTACCAGCTCGAACACTTTCACCGACTTCTTTCTCCAAGTAATTCTCGAAAATCCAACATCGAATACAATTCAAGACTTAAACTATGAGAAATTTTTTCTCATTAGTTTTGTTGTGTTTTCATCACATAAACTTTAACAATTATAGAAATATGTCACATATATATTTTAAACTGTACACATTATAATGCGAATTAACATCATCGAATTTAAAAGACTTCATCTTTATTGCAAAAATGGAGTTTTTGCGATGATTTGATGTTCAACACATTGGCAATTTTGCATAATTATTCAACGGTATCATCAAGTTCCTTTGTTTCAATCTTCTAATTGATTCACTTTTCACATTCAATTTTCATATTCAAAATCATTGACAATGTCCTATAATCCGTTATTAAACACGTTTTTTTGTTTTAATTTCTTCGTAATTGAAGCATAAACTTTACATTTTTCTGATAAGGTTAATTATAAAAGTTTAATTTCAAAGAATTATTTTGCATCAAAAATAATGTTGTATTAATATTAAACATATTATTATTGAAATTAATAATCTTCATGCACTACAATATTTTTTACATCAAACAATTATGAAATTGATTCTGTTTTCTCTCTC